TATATGTGTATTGTGTTTTGTAAGATTTTATTTTTTAAATTTTTATTATTACATGTTTGTAGCACATGATTACACTCATCATAAGGAATTGGTACATGTACATAACACATTTTTTAACTTTCTCCTCCTTCCCTTTCCTCATATGGGTATTTTTTAAAAACAAAGATACTATTATTTCATAGACTCAAGACCATAACTTACAATCCATAGGATCATATTATGCACATACCTGTAATGCAACTTTGTATTTTCACTTATATGTTACATTAAAAATTACCATATACATAGCTTTATTGTATTATTTTAAATAGCCATGATCTTTCATGGCATGTGATTACTATAATCTAATGGTCTCTACATGATCATTGTTAGCTTTCTTTTTATTCCTTCAAATGGTGCTTTAGAGAACATCCTTCCATGTCTTTGTAATTTATCCAAGACTGTGTAGGACACATTTTTGGAAGTATGGTTGTAAAGAGAAAAGATATGCTCATCTTAAACTGGATTGCTATAGATTGCTCCCCAAAGGGATTGCACCTTCGGTGCCTTCACCCATACTGAGTATCATCACACCTTTTAATCTTTGGCAATCTCGTAAATTAGAGGTGGCACACATTTGCTACAAGGCCACAGAGTAAATATTTTTAGTTTTGTGGGGTATCTGGTCTCTGCTCCAGTTCTACAACCCTGCTACAACTGTTCCAAAGTAGTTGTAGAAGGTAGATAAATGGAAAGTGTGACTAGGTCCCAAGAAGATTTAATCATTAAAATTAATAACAATAGTAAAATCAACATGGTACCAGAATAAAACAGATCTGAAGATCAATGGAATAAATTAGAAGATACAACCATAACTACAAATACACTCAACTACCTTATGTTTGTTAAAGGGGCCAAATATGTTCACTGGAAGAACGACAGTCTCTTTAATAAATGGTGCTAGAAAAACTGGCTTTCCATATGCCGAAAACTAAAACTAGACCCATGCCTATCACCATGTACTAAACTAAAATCTAAATGGATCAAAGATCTGAACATTAAAACAGAAACACTAAATCTGTTGGAAGACAAATTGGGTAAAAATCTTGAAGACATAGGGCTAGGTAGAGAATTCATGAACAGGAATCAAACCACATGGGAACTGCTTCCCAGAATCAATAACTGGGATCATGTCTTATTAAAAAGTTTCTGCACATCAAAAGAAATCTCCAGCATAGTGAAAAGAAAACCCACAAACTGGGAAAAAGTCTTGGTGAACTGTCCCTATAGACAAAGGACTTCTGTCTAAAACATATAAAGAATTTTAAAAAATCAGACCCTCAAAATACAAAGATCCAATTCAAAAATGGGCATCTGAGGTGAATATACAGTTCTCAGATGAAAAAATACAAATGGCAAATAAATAATGAAAAAATGTTCATCATCATTAGTCATTAGAGAAATGCAAATTAAAACCATACTGAGATTCCATCTCACTCCAGAAAGAATGGCCAGGATCAAGAAAACTACCAATAACAAATGCTGGAGAGGCTGTGGGGGAAAAGGAACTCTACTGCACTGTTGATGGGAGCGTAGACTGGTGCAACCATTGTGGAAGTCAGTGGAGATTTCTCAAAAAGCTGGGATTGGAAGTCCCATTTGATCCAGCTTTTCCACTTCTAGGCATATTCCCAGAACTGAAAATATAATATCACAGTGATATATGTGCACCCATGTTTATAGCAGCACAATTTGTAATAGCCAGATCTTGGAAACAACCTAAGTGCCCATCAACTGAGGAATGAATAAAAGAGTTGTGGTATTTTTATACAATGGAGTACTACTCAGCTATAAAGAATGATCACATTGAGATATGTATAAATAAATGGACACAGCTTGAGACCATACTCATGAATGAAATAAATCAAACTCACATATATAAAATACCATATAGTCTCCCTAGTGTGAGAAATGGTAAGAATACATAAAAATACATGGTAATCATGATTCCCCATTACATTGCTTTGAACCTTATAATGTTTTCATTCATTAGTTAGAATGGTTTTATCCTGGGTTGTTTGATTTTATTGTCTGTGATGATATGAACAGCTATTTTGAAGAAAATAAGACATTATAGTAAGTCAGTGCTGATTTAATATCATCTTGTTTTGAGGTCCTACCATGCTTTTGTTCTTCTGTCTCCATCGGTTCTATCATGTTGTATCTTACTGGATTTTATTATGTGTGATAGTATAAACAAAATTTTTTATGGACAAGGAGATAATATAGTAACCATTGTTTGTTTTCTGTTATTTAGTTCTGAATGTTATTTGGCCCTGTAATACTTTCATTCTCTTGAATAGTTTTATTCTATTTTGTTGTGTTTGATATTATAGTGTATGAAGGTATACTCAAATATCTCAAGGAAAGAGACATTATGGTAGCTACTGTTAGGTTGATTTGTCTTGTGAAATACTATGTTGCTTAAATTGTTCTGATCTGTTTTGTTATGTCGTCTTTTATCTTAATCTTTTTAAAATAAATAATAATAATAATAAAACCCATTGGGCTGGATTTGAGATTTTATTATTATTATTATTATAATAATAAAACCCATAGAGAGCTATATTTTGCTGAATCTTGTGGTGGGTTTAAAAAAAAGTTTCTTTGTTTTAATTTGCATTTCTTTAGCTATGTGAGTAAAGGTGAGCATTTTTCTTCATAAAGCTTAATTGGGCTCTTAGTACATGTTAGGAATATAGCAATCAACAGTGTCTCGGTCTTCAAGAGTTGTGGGTGGGGGAATTAAGAAAGGTGCACCTAAAGCAGTACACTAACAGTCAGGCATGGTAAATGCACTGGTAATCCCAGCACTGGAGAGGCTGAGACAGGAGGGTCGCTGCAAGTAAGACCAGCCTGAGCTACAAAGTGAGCTCAAACTGCATAGTGAGACCCTGTCTCAAAAAGACATAAATAAATAAGTACACTAATAAATGAATTACTAGTTCTGATAAGTTGTCTGATGAAAAAGAATTGAGGTGTGACTAGAACCTAGGGTTTCAGGTGGCAGCCATTTTAGTGAGGGAAAACTGCTAAGGGATGTGGCAGTTGGTTTATGAGAAAGAGCTAGCCAGGTGTAGTAATTGTTGACTACTTTAACAATTACCTCAAAATTTAGTGGTTTAAAACTACAAATATTTAGTATGCCATAGTTTCTGAGGGTCAAGGAATTTGGGAGTGGCTCAGGGAAGTGGTTCTCTGGTGAGATTTCAATCAAGGTGTTGACCAGGTTGCAGTCATTTTAAGCCTTGCCTGGGATGGAGGATCTGCTTCCAGAAATTAACTCACATGCTTGCTAACAGGAAACCTCAGTGCCTTCCCACACAGGCCTTTCTGTGTGGCTCCATGAGTGACTCATGACACGTAGCCAGCTTTTCCCAGGGCAAGCAGTCCATGAGAGCAAGGAGGAGGCTGCAGTGCCTTTATTGACTCAGTCATGGAAATCACACACACCATCACATCTTCCTTTGGTACAGTGTGTACCAAAAGGCCTAATGTTTATTTGTATATGTTTGACCACAAGTATCCATGTAATAAAAGACTGGAATAATTACATTAAGGTGTTAATAATGGTTTACTTTGCATAGTACTATGGATAATTCACATTTAGCTTTTTGCTAATCTTTATCTTTTAGACACCAGGAATATGGCAATGAATGAATTACTCTCTATTATTAGGGAAATTTTATGCTTCATAATCTAATGGGGGTAAAAAAAAAGTAATTTTATTAGTTATAAAATGATGAGAATCCTTTGGAAACATGAAGCAGAAGCATCTAATTCACACTGGGGTACCAAGAAAGGCTACCCTTTGAAAGGTGATTGGTTAGTATGTAGTTATCTAAAGGTGTGAAAGAAGAGTATGTTCCTCCTGCCTCAGCCTCCCCAGTCAGCTGAGATTATAGCTGTTTTAAAGATTATATAGCTGTTTTATTTTTCATTTTTACATAATTATTGTACATGTGGGATATGGTGTAATACTGAGATATGTATATACATTGTATAATGATTAATTCCATGTAATTGTGTCCTGCACCTCTTTGTAATGATAACATTCAAAATCCTCTCTTCTAGCTATCATGAAATAGTCCTTCTAATTAGCTGTAGTCCTTCTACTGTGTCATAGATAGTGATACAGATAGGTATCACTACAGATGGGCTAAGTTGAATAGTCCCCAAAGGCCCATGTATTTAAGGTTTGTTCCTCAGGATGGTGCTACCTGGAAGTAGTGGCATCTTTAGAAATGGGGCCTTAGGTCTCTGAGGGCTTGCCCTTGAAGGGTTTTCGAAGTTTGACGCCCTCCTGGGTCTTCACTCCCTGTCCATAAAATGAGTGCCTTTGCTCCATCCACCAGCTACTTCTGCCATCATGTGTGCTGCCTGCCACAGAGGGGGCCCACACAGCATGGCCATTGGTCATAGCTGAAAACGCCAAAACTGTGAGACTGAATAAATGCTTTCTCTAAGTTGATTCTTTCAGATAAAGTATTTTTAAATTCTTCAGATTTGGAATTGATTTTCTTGGTGTTGATAATAACAGAATGTCCTATTGTATAGAAACTAGAGGGATAGGTACTATAAATAAGGTTTGTATCTTATAGCCTTTTAAGAATGTTTCATTTGGGGAAAACATATTTATATCTAACTGCATGTTTTTTATTTCTGCTTTTCAAATTGTAGAGCCATTTTATTAAAAATGTTTTTAATCTTTTGTACTCTTGTATGAGGCATTTGATACTATTTTGATGAAAACATTTATAAGCTGTCCCATTTACTTAATTTGTAAATTTAATGAATTATGAGGGATTAGGCATTTCTTCCCTAGTTTTATAGATTTCATTATTTAGATTAAGATTTAAAAAGAATCCATATAATTTAATTTTTCTATGAAGGATTTTAACTATATAGTTTTGTGATAAATACTTAAACAGATAGTCAAATGTAATATTTTTCTTTTTTAGCCTTTCTCCGAAAAGTCTACAGTATCCTATTTCTACAAGTTCTCTTAACTACAGTAACCTCTACAGTGTTCTTGTACTTTGAGTCATTACGAACATTTGTGCATGAAAGGTAAGGTAATGAGATGATTCTCAATAATTTTCAGACATTCACTGCACATGATTGAAAGGGCACATATAAAAAAAGCTCTAATTTTTCTCCTATAAGTTAAACTAGTTTTGTTTTTGATAAAGGAAAATATTCCACAACAGGGTGTTCTTTTTACCTTTGTTTAGTTTATAGCTTCTTAGAATTAAGCCCCTATCTCCTGTAAGAATATTAAGAATTTTTCCCGCATGCAACTTAAGTCTTCATTATTTTTTTGTACTGTATTGGACTATTTACCCTGATCCCAAAGCCCACAAAAATGCTCAAAAAAGATTATCTAGCAAGTGTGTGTTTTAGTTTTGTCTGATGAGTAGAATAATTTCACTGAGAAGCTTCCAGAAGAGTTCCTATTCACCCATTCTTAATAAAAGTATTTCAACATAATTAGTTCTTTTTTTTTTTTTTTTTTTGTCTTTTTCGTTTTTACTGGTACCAGGGATTGAACTCATGACTGCCTGCTTGTAAAGCAGGCACTTATGCTGCTGAGCTAAATCCCCAGCCCCTACATAATTAGTTCTACAGCTAAAAAATAATATGATTTCTTTATATTAAAGAAAAGGGAAAATAGAGTATTTTCTTAGAAGTAAAGAATTTGTGCCTTCTATACCAAAAAAGAGTCTTACTAGTTCGCTATTTGGGTTTAAATAATTTAAAGTATAGTCATATGGTAAATACTCTAAAATGTGGTTATGTGTAAAATGTTTGTTTAATATCTTTTATTTATTGTATTTTAGTATTACAGTAATTATAAACATTACTAAAATGTAACAGAAATTCATGAAGTAATAAAGTAATATCTCTCCCTGTTATTGTGGGCTTTTTCTTTGTCCCACTGATCTTCCACACTTCATATCCCATAGATTTTCCAGGTATAAAAATATTTCTTTTAATAGTTTGGGATGGGTCATTTTAGATTTTTCTTGTACTTTTATGAATGCAAAAAATAGATAAATTTTATTAAACTGAATAACACTATTCCTGCTATTTTAAAACTTTAAACGTTTTGATATTATGTCTTTTAGTCCTGCCTTAATTTTGGTGTTTGCCATTGGAGCTTTGGGTTTGATTTTTGCGCTGACTGTAAACAGACATAAGCATCCCCTTAACCTGTACCTGCTTTTTGGCTTTGTGAGTACTTTGACAATGTGTGTTCTTTTAACATTTGGCCTGACTTTTTGAAATATTTATTTAATTGAATAGTGAACAAAATTGAGTTTTCTATTAAATTACTTTAGGAAATTATAATTTTATAGTCTTTTAGAATTTTTAAAGATTTGTTAATTTCAACAGTTTCTATTAATCTTAGGATTTATTGGGGGAAAAATGCCAAATTGGAATCAGATGATTATCTGGTTATGTGATATTTAGCAAGGCATTTAGTTTTTCTGTACCTACTTTTTCTCATATGCCAAGTGAAAATACTAGGATAATCCCTGTGATACTTTCTACCTGTAATATTCTGTGGGTGGGGGAGTTAGATTGTAGCCTTAATTTCATAGAAATTCTTTTTCTAGTTGTGTGTGTGTGTGTGTGTGTGTGTGTGTGGTGGTGGTGGTGGTACTGGGAATGAAACGTAAGGCGTTTGCACTGAGCTGCACCCACAGTTAGATCTCACTAAGTCTCTTGAGTTTCTCAGGTTAAGTTTGAACTTTTGATCCTCTTGCCTCAGTCTCCCAAAATGCTGGTTTTACAAGCATGTGCCACCCTGTCTAGCTTGGAGAACTTGGTTTTAGATTTGTTGAGATAATTGTGAAAATTAAAACTTCTGTCACCTATAAAAATTAAATCTTTGAGTAAGATTGGTAAGGCTTACCATATTTTTATATCATCTCATATGACTTTGGGTTCTGAAATGAAAATTTACTTCCAAACTAATAACAAAGAGTATTTGCAGTCAAGTACGAATGGGAACACTATTGATCAGATTAAATGCTTCAAATTAAAGAAATTTGTGAACTTGTAAAAAAATTTTTATTTTGATTAGTGTATTTTTGTAGTATATAATGATTACATTCATTACAGGGAGTTGATACATTTACTCAATGGATCTTGATTCTTTTTTCTTATCTTTTTCCTCCCCTCTCTCATTCTTCCCTCCATCTCTTGGTTGCCTTCCATTTTGCAAAAAATCTATGTCCCCGTTTCCTATTATCTATCTTTTATTTTGCTCTTTAATTTATATATAATTTGGGCTTCATGTAATATTATGATCTCAAGGTACACCCATTTTCCTACAAATGACTCATTTATACTTCTTTATGGCACAGTAATACTCCATTATGTATAAATACCACATTTTCTTTATCCATTCATTTGTTGATGAACATAAAGTTTGTAAATCTTACAATGAGTGTGTGTTAACATGAAAGATGAAAGAAAAGCTCAGGACTTTGGAAATTCCAATTATTAGAGACACTATTTTGTTACATCTGAAGCTCTTACGTTTGTTTGTAGGTTTATCACTCCTAACCCAAGTGATCTCAAACAACAGGAAGGTTATTTAAGAATATGAGAACCTGGTAACTCACCAATCCAAACCTACCAAATCTTAACAAGAGGAACTACAGGAAGGGCCTAGAAATGATGCTATTGTAAGAAATTCAGCACAGGAGAGTGTGGTCTTTTTCTTGTTCTATTATATCTCTATCTTACAACTGGCCTTGCACATTGTTTTCCTTTTTTCCATCGTTAATTTTATATGACCTATTGTGGGCTTCTATAACTACCTTTCAACTTCAGATCCCACTACCATCACTTGTTTCTCTTGATTTCAGTTTCCTGAGTGAAAAATAATCTTATTGGTATAGGTCATGTTGTAGATCATTAGCCAGTACATGGGTTGCCAGTTCTTGGGTCAGATTTGTACTCAGCTACATCAGTCAGCTTTGTGCCATGAGAGCTGATTGAGACATAAAAAAGAGGGTTATGTTAAATTTTTCTTCAGATCTTCATAGAACTTCCTTTAAGAAAGGCTGAGTTCTACATGGGAAGGGTTTATGGGACAATTATTGCCAAGCAGATGTGGCCTTACTAAAAACACATTAACCAAATGCTTTGGTTAAATGGTCATTTATTGCTAAACCTATTCATTGTGCCCATAGCATAGTTTAACCAATAAGAAAGTATATAAAATATATTTCTTTGGATTAGTTTGTGGCCTGTGACACTAATTTTTTTTGTCTTTCTGCACCAAAATAAAAGGTGTGTGTGTGTGTGTGTGTGTGTGTGTGTGTGCGCATTTAAAGAGGGCATTCATTTGAGATAGTGTTATATTCACCTAGTCTTAGTTTTACATGCATTTATATTGTATCTCCTGGTACTTGAATGGGTGAAAGGTTTCTTTTCTAAAATTATATTGTGAATATCAATATAGTATCATTATATTTCTCAGAAAAGAATATTTCTGTCATCTTTTACTACAACTTCCCTGATACTCCCATGACAGGAGCTTTACTGCCTCCACATCTATCCATTATTTCTAATACCACTTTGCTTTTGTTCCTAAGCTTTGTGATTTCAGGTAGGATGGGGTACAGAGAAAACCTTTTACCAAAGCGTATTATACAGCTTCTGTTCTTACCTTTGGTTTTGCTTTTGTTATATGGTCTATATAACATGGTTATATAGTTGGTAAATAGTATATAGTTGGTATATAGTAACTATATAACGTGGTTATATAGTTATATAGATGATTGGTAAAATCCAATGAGAATAAGCATATGGGACAAAGTAAAATAATGTAATTAAGAAAGCAAGGAGAGAAAACAATTAACATTTCTCTAATTTTTAACTTAGGATATGAGTTCAAATATTTTATGTAGAATATGAGTTCAACTACTTGGAACATGGGTTAAACAGTGACAAAATAACAATGGCTTAAACAAGATAGTGTATTACTCTTTGATATAAGAATCTGAATGACTGATGAAGTTACCAAGGACCCAGATGCCTGCTATGGTTCCAGGGTTCTTAAAGTGTTGTATGATATAAGATAGCTTACTGTCATATCCAGATAGCATCTAGTTACCATGTAAGAAAAAAAGAAAAGATAGAGGAAGTGGAAAGAGGGAACTCTATGCTTTTAGAGCACAATCTAGAAGTTGTATACTTTATTAAATTGGCTAAAATTATTAAGAATGAGAAAATAGTTTTCTGTGTGGTTTGTACTATATAATCTTCATTCCTTTCTACTATATAATCTTTATATTCTTACAGATATGAAAAGTCTGATTAGAACAAAGAGTGATGGAACCACAATTAGAATTTAAATATACTCATTTAGTACATCAAGCTCTATTTCTGATTATGCTAGGCTTAATACTTGTCCCATATACTTGACAGGGAGGCTCTGAAGGTAAAATGAGATTCCTAGGGGATCACTTTGAACTATTAAAAATTAGAAAATATACATGAGATAGTATACATTTTTCAAACATTAATATTAATTTCTTTTTTGTAGACACTTTTGGAAGCTGTGACTGTGGCAGTTGTAGGTAAGCCATATGTTATAGTAACTTTATTGTGGATAAATCTTTTAGTTAAAAAAGTATTTGGGATTAAACTTTAACATCATGGGATGTCATATTTAAAAAATAAGACATGGGTCAAAGATTGCCTAAAGTATGAATAATAGTCAAATATTTATACTTTACATAGTAAGGAGAGCTTATAGAAAGTGGGAAAGTTTTAAGGAAAATGAAAGAAATGGAGAACAATATTTCATTTTTGTGTTACTTATTTATAAAAATAAGACCACTATAGCTGATCATTTCCCTGATTCAGAAGGGTCTCGGAGGACTTAAGACCATGTGTTTTGAACTGTGTACATAAAATTAGCTCCCTCAGAATTGCCTGTGCTTTACTGGTATATCCTCTGTTTTTCACTAATGGCACTATAAGAAACAACAGTTGTTTCTATCTCTCATATTAAATGTGTGTTTTCCGGCCAGATGTCTGTTCTAATTATTTGAATTAAGGTATTACAAAAGTGTAATACCTTAAATAAAAAATTTCAGTGAATTAGTAAGACTTACGATTGTCTCAAAATGGTTAACATTGGGTACCAAACAGGTCATTGTTAGCTCTTACCTTCAATAGCAGCAAGTTGTTAATCATGCTTAATATATTTATCTCTTCTGATTTTGTGATTACTATTTTTAACCTTTCAATGCCAATTTTCTTGATTCTATGGGCTTTTTTGGTAGTCTGCTTACTTTTTTTTTTTTTTTTTTTTTGTGGTACCGGGGATTGAACTCACGACTGTCACTTGCCAGGCAGGCACTTGTGCCGCTCACCTAAATCCCCAGCCCAGTCTACTTACTTTTTAAAAGAATCAGAATACAAATTAAGGGTCAGGGATTTAGCTCAGTGGTGTAAGCACCTGCCTAGCAAGCATGAGGATGTGAATTTGAGCCCCAGTACTAAAGGAAAAAAAAAAAAAAAATATATATATATATATATATATATATATATATAATGTACTATTATAAAATAAGTACAGTTGAAGCTGCTCAGCACAGAAAGTACCGATATATATTAGATTATACATAGTAGTGTTGCTATCCATTAGTAGTATTTAATGTTATGAATTGTAATATTTTTCCCTCTTGATTGTGTACTAAAATTATTAACAAGAAGCAAATTTGATTTTTAAGTTTTATGTTTTCTCTGTTTACCTTCCTAATCCTGTCATAAGTAAAGAAGTTCCAGTAATTTAGGAAGACAAATAATCTGGATGATTATAGTTCTTGAAAATGTAAAAGTTACTTAAGTGGTTTGGATTCAAAGCCCTTTATCTCCTTTAAAGAAGTTATAATTTAGCATTTGTTAAAAAGTTAAGGAGTTGTATTACAGTAGCCATAGCCAATCTAGATGATCATTCTGAAATTAGGGAATTTGGTACACAGTCGGCAAACCTCACAATAATATACTCCAAGATAGTGCAGATTTAGATGTGAAGCAATTAGTGATTGTTTTCTGTTGTCTGCAGGATAGGCAGATGGCAGGCTACCCCAGAAAACCTCAGTGTCTTCCCTGCTTAGTTCCCTTGAGTTGGCCAATAAACTGGGCACAGCTAACCAGATGATTGCTAACATTGCTGCTACTGTTTAGGAATGCCTAGCTAGCTAAAGGACCCAGAGTCATCTCTATTGATAGGTATGCCATAGTAAACAGTAAAAATAAAAGATGATGATATTCTGCAGTGGGAACCGAAATGGCTAGAATCATTCTAAACATGTTCCTAAAACTTCTAACTAGTTACCCGTGTAATACCTCTATAGTCATCTCATTAACTTCATAGTAATGTGACCCCTTTATCTTGTGTAAATGAATTTTCAGAACCTTTTTATAGCATTTATGGGTATGGTTTTCTGTACCAATATATTCAAGACTGGATGAGGAATCTTTTCTTAATTGTTTTATTGGTGAATAGTATAGGAAATAATAAAAGTTTCCATTAAGTGCATTTTTATTAAAGGCTGTTTTATAGAGTATGTTTATATATACTTTTAATGTTTTAATTTTACAGTTACCTTCTATGATGTATATATTATTCTGCAAGCTTTTGTATTGACCACTGCTGTGTTTCTTGGTTTGACTGTATATACTCTACAATCTAAGAGAGACTTCAGTAAATTTGGAGCAGGGTAAGTTATTTGTTTTTGGATACATCTGATAGATTCTTTTAATTTTATAGGTAGGTGGTTTTGAAGGAAGTGCTATACTGTTAGCTTTGGCTCTCTTAAACTGGAGGGCATCCAGAGGTCATCTCTGTGTATTAGGGCTAGACCCTTCTTTCCCAGAACAAAAACCAGAGATGGAAAGTACCTTTGAGTCATTTCCTTCCCTTCTATAGTGAAACTGAATGCCAAACAAGAGCAAAAGAAAGAAAGAAAGAAAAAAAAGTGGTTCTCTAAAGAAGGTGGGCTTATGTTTTATCAACAGTGAGGAATTTAGTGAAATTATTTCAGTCTTTGTCTTAGAATAAATGTAGCCAAGAATATCTACATCTTTGGCACTGGCAGGATAATTGGCCTAGAAGTTGGAAATGTCTGCATGAACATTTAAAGCTTTTTAATGTATGTAAAACAACCAGTGTCATTTTTCAAGCAAATAAAGATGTTAAGTGATCCTTTTTATATTAGGATAATAGTTGTGTTGCCCTTATGTGGTAAGAATTCAGAATTAAAATTCACAGTGGCTTCCTTTTGTCAGTCACCCAATCAAGTTTTGTTCCTTTTCCTGTTACAACACTAAACATTTACAAATTCTACTCTTACAAAACTTTCTCCCTCCCTTTTGTTTTCTAGTGGTTCAAATTACAAGAAATCTCTATTGGGATAAAACACAGTTGTGCAAGCTGCCTAACTAGTTTTTTTAGAATGGAGTTTGACTTAGGGAAAGGAAATTTCTTTTTTTTTTTTTTCTTTCTCTTGGGGATGTATGTATCTCTATCTATCTATCTATATATGTATCTACGTGTATGTGTATTTGTGTGGTGTGTATGATAAAAAGTTTTGCTCTACTTGCTATTCCCATCCTAGTCTTTAACTGCTTCCCATCCTCCAGTCCATTCTAGTACCTCTGTCATACTCCTGGTAAATATTTTCCTCTATATTTCAGCCTCTTCATGGAAAATTTTCATTGATGCAACTGATGTTACCAATTATACATAGTTCTCACACCAAATATTTCTGAAGGCTTTATACAGCTATTTCTGATAATTCTTACATTTTATTTCCAAATATATAATTTGGAATTTATTTGTTGTATTTTTTGAGGCCTAGATTGAAGATCCCTTTTTCATACTCATACAGATTTGCTGCTGCTTGACATCTGGGAAACTATTGGTTTGGATCAACTTGAAACTAAATTTATGGCTTACAGTGTTTTCCTTCAGAGGTTGTGAATTGAGATTACAAATCTGTAAAGGGATAGATTCTGGTAATATTTTCTGAGAGATGTTCCTTCCTTTACCCTTACTTTGTGCACTGATAACTTTTCATGTAGATTCTAGGTAGAATAGGGAGCTGATATATGATTTCCCTGACATTCAGATTATGTATGTATGCATTATCCTGTAGTATTTTCGACACAAAAGGAATTGAATCTTAGAACTGTGTATGGTAACTATGGCAACTTGCATTGCCATATTAAGAGTCCAGCGGCAGTACCATAATTGCCTTTGGATTTCTACTTTTGCCTAGATGTTGGTCTGATATTCTGTCTTGTCAGTGACACTTTTGAGAAAGTTTCGTTTTCTTTTTAATCCATCATTTTAGTTGTTTTGGGGTAAGGTGTGAGGGAGGGTGGTAATTGTTCTGAATACTCTTGTTTCTATAATTTTGGAAGCAGACCACTTTCAAAATTGTCTCTTACATGTATCACTACAACCAGCTTTTCTATCTCTGTCTTAACTGATTTCCAATCTATTTACCAAGTAACTAAATGACATTTATAAAATGCAAACTTGATCATAGTATATCTAAAACCCTTCAACACTTTACTGCTGCTTAAGGGACAGGGCTTGTTTTTCCATTGAATTATTTCTGTTGCCATCAGTTATAAATGTTATACTGTCATCTAATCACTTCCTAGAAAAATCCCAGTAATGATTGTATTTTGGTAAATATGCCTAAGAATGGCACTTTATTGAATTTTAAACAAAATTTCAAAGCACTAATTATTGTGAATCCTCAAAGTCAAAAGCTGTGGAGCTTACGTACCAAAAGGAGAGAAAAACTAAGCAAAAAATTTTTTTCTTGAAAAAGGCTTAAGGCTATGTATTTAGACCCGTTTGTCGGATATAGTGTGCACTCAAAAAATACATGTTAAATTGTGGTAGCTGTGGGGGCTGGGGATTTAGCTCAGTGGCATAAGCACCTGCTTTTGCAAGCAGGCGGTCGTGAGTTCGATCCCTGGTACCGATAAAAATGAAAAAGACAAAAAAAAAAATTGTTGTAGCCGCAGATAGTGGTGGCAGCATTCCATATACTCATAGTCATAATGATTTTTGTGGTACCACTGTTATTTACTGTCATGCATTATCCTGTAGTATTTTCGACACAAAAGGAATTGAATCTTAGAACTGTGTATGGTAACTATGGCAACTTGCACTGCCATGTTAGAGCCAGTTCATACCAGTTTTACGTGAAGAAATTTGAAAGTCAATTGTTAAATTGTTGAAAGCTTAAGAAAATCCATGATGCACGTGTTTATAGAAGTCAGAAAGTGCCACACATCAGGGAAGTTTGCTAGTACCTTGCTGTATGCTATTTTTCAATCTGTGCTTTTTATTGAGACAAAGAAAAGATACAAGTTTGTTTTGCCAGTTCTGTAGATGGAGAAGTCAGAATAGCAAAACCTTTGGCATTTCTCATCCAATCTATATTCTCAGAAAGTTTGCTCTCAGTATTTAAATAGTTGAGATATAAGTCAAAGTACTAGTTAACAACTTAGGAAGGCAGATAATCTTTAAATCTTTACTTGACTGTTGATGTATTTCTAGAGTATGGTCATAAACTGAAAACTTGTAGGTTCCAGTTCTTATCAGAAATTTACTAAATAGAATCTGTGAATATAAACAACCCTTGGATGATGTACTAGATTCATGGGAGAGGTGATGTTTAACCAGGGAGTTTAAGCTTACCAGATGTGCTGTTGTAGTGGAAAAAGAAATGTATGTTCTAATATTTATTATCCATAGTTATCTGATAATGCTCAAATATAGCTCTTTGTATGTCCAGTTATAGTAAATTATAAGGTTAAATTAATAGCCAAAGTTCTCTACCAACCCTGTCGTAAGGTCATATCAGAAGTCTTGAGGAACTGCCTAATCTTTTGGGAGACATTTTATTTTTTATGCTTCTCATATTCTTGAATGTCTTGTGAATAACACACTGTCTTTTATCAAGGACTTGGCCTGAGTCCCCAATCTCCTAAAACAAGTTATAGCAAAAGATTAAATAAGAGATAGTATATTTTTGGGGGAATCCATGAGAGATCAAATTCTCTTGGAGCTGAAACAAAGATTTTTCAGGATTGCCAATATTTATTGGCTCCCTCACAATTCAGGGAGGTGCAAGAAAAAAAGGGCACATCTGAGGCAAAAGCCCCCAAAATAAAGCAGGGCCTTAAGTTTGAACAAAGGCAGTAAAACTTGCTAATTAAGGGAACTGTTTGATCTGTAAGGTTGATAGTTTATTGTCCTTGAAACCTTTGAGATTCAGCAGCCCATAGCTGCAGCACTTGCTTGACTTAAGAGGCTATAAATATGAGCTTTCCAATATATACAAAGAGCACTATATATAACTACTTTACCGTTACACAGCCTGGTCTCCAACAGTCTTTTGTTCCAGACTGGTGTTTTTATAATAGTCTTGAACACTAAAGGTGACTACCTCTAAAGCAAGGAGCAAGCATGTTCACTCTCCATTATTAAAAAAAAGATTTAGTTCCCTAAATTCAAGTTTCCACTTGTGTAACACAATTCACTATATGTAGGTATCATCTGGCCCTCTTAGCTTGATCCTATGTGAACTGAGCTATGTTGTAAAAATACTGATTCTCTGGTTACTGATACTGCTGAAATAAACCTTTTGTTTGTTTAAATCTCAGACCTGGGAGATTCATCTTTCAGCAACTGTGAAACACTACTAGACTACCTTACTTTAAAAAGGGGGGAAGGGATATTGTAAATAGTTATTGTGTATGTGTGAATTCTTATACTTTATTCTTTGGCAAAAATTTGAATTTGTTTCTTTAGAAAATACAGAATAGGTCTACTTCAGGTGGTTTTTTTTTTGAGACAGGGTCTCGCTGTGCAGTTCAGGCTGGCCATGTACTCACTTTGTAACCCAGGCTGGTCTTGAACTCTCAAGGATCCTCCAGCCTCAGCCTCCTGAATGATGGGATTATAGCTGTGTGCCACCATGCCCAGTTCAAGTTTTTTGTTTTTTTAAATACACTATTCGACCTTAATAAAATTTTGTTTTTATAGGCTGTTTGCTGTTCTGTGGATTTTATGCCTGTCAGGATTCTTGAAGGTAAGCTGCTTTAGAATGGCTAACTTGAAATATAATTCTGGCCCTGTCTGTATAGTAACCTCAAAAAGCTGGAGGAGTTACTTTTAAAGGACATCTAATTATAATTACCTGGAACATTTATATATAGAATGATTCTAGAATAATGTCTTTTTAAAAAGCCTTTTTTTTTTTTTTTTTTTTTTGAAATGGGGTCTCGCTATGCAGTTCAGGCTGGCCTTGAGCTCACTTTGTAGCCCAGGCTGGTCTCATACTCGCAACGATCCTCCCACCTCAGCCTCCGGAGTGCTGGGATTACAGGCATGAGCCACCATGCCTGGCAAAAAAGCCATTTTTTAATCATTCTTACTGACTGAAAGATGAATGCGCAAGTGAGTTAAACTACATAGCAAAAGGCCCACGCTTGTAACTGCTGCCATCCTTCAAGTTGCATATTTAATTCTGAAAAAGAAGTATGTTTTAAAATAATTTGCATTTGGAATGCTAGCTTTCAAAGTTAAGTTAGGTAATTTAATAGAAAAAAAGACATCCATTCATTCATCTTTTCATCAAACAGAAGCAAACTTGGCGGTACCTTGCCTCTTTCTGTTTTAAATCTAAATATTTGAAATTATACACCATTAATAAATATGTATGTAACAACAGCTTATTAGTGAAAGTATTTTAAGTATTCTTAATATGATCCCAAATATAAATGAATCTCTTCAATCTCTTGCCTATAGATGTTTTTTCATAGTGAGACAATGGAATTGGTCTTAGCTGCTGGAGGAGCCCTTCTTTTTTGTGGATTCATCATTTATGACACACACACACTGATGCATAAATTATCTCCTGAAGAGTATGTGTTAGCTGCTATCAGCCTCTACTTGGATATTATCAATCTATTCCTACACCTGTTACGGTTTTTGGAAGCAGTTAATAAAAAGTAATTTAAAGCAGTATTTAAGACTTTCATTAAGTAATAAAATTTGGTATTTAATTAAGTGTTAAATACTTTTGTGGTCTTTATTAGTATTCAGTATACTGAGCATTAAAATTTCACTACTCTTTATGATTTATCTCATTTCTAAATCCTTGTAAATTAAGTAAGAGATGTAAAAAATTCTTTTTTTATTTTTCAATAGGGCTATGCCTAACTGTATAATTTTATATTACAATTCAAAATAATTTTGTATTACATCAGTGTGTATTTAATGATTTAATATAAATTTCCCTTATGTAACATATTTGATTTTGATTCTGAAGTACTATTGTCCACTATTATAATATAAATCTTTCATTAGATTTTAATCTTATAGAGCAAAAACTATAAAAGTTAGACAATTATTCAGTACTGATTAAAATTGTACTCTAATGTTAACATTTTATTGCAAAATGATATATTAAAATTTAAAGGTCTGCTTGAAAGTCAAATAAAATTTGATAGTAATTTTTTTTTTTTAAGTACAGGGGTCATTTTAAAATTATGGTTGAATTGTTAAAGAACCCCAAAAATACTGGCCCACCTGACATTAAGTGTATATAATGAAAATAAAAATATCTGGAAAAGTTTCTTGAGTGCTTTGTTTGTCCATACAACATATAGGTAAGTATACCAGTGACCCATGAAATTTTGGCAAATTTCTTCACTGTTAGTATTCTCCCTTATTTATAATTTCATGGTTTGTGGTTTCAGTTTCCTAAAGTCTTTTTTTTTTTTGGTCTGAAACTATTAAGTGGAAAATTCCAGAAATAATTTATAAAGTTTTAAATTGTGTAGGTTCTGTGTAGCATAATACAATATTATGCTGTACTGCTCTGTCCTCTCAGAGATATGATACTCTTGTCCAGTGTATCTACACTGTACGAATTACCTGCTTCTCATGGTCAGTGATCAGGATCACCTGAAGCAGATTAACTTCCATATACAGTCAGAAGGTCAGTAGTAGCCTACCTCTACATCACAGGGCCCTGTCATTCACCTCACTCCATCTCATCACATAAGCTTTATATCATTTCATATCATAAAATAAGTGAATACAGTACAGTATTGTGAGAAACCACATATAACTTTTACTGCAATATAGTTTATAATTGTTCTATTTCATTACTTGTTAATCCCTTACTGTGCTTAATTTATAAATTAAGCTTTATCATGAGTATACATGTATAGGAAAAAAACACAGTATTGATAGGGTTCAGTATGTATGTGGTTTCAGGCATCCACTGGAGTATGGAATATATTCCCTGCAGGTAAAAGGGGATCACTGTATTAATTTGCTGGGCTGACATAACAAAGCACTGTAGACCAAATGACTTAAACAACAGAAATTAATTTTCTTGCAGTTCTGAAGGCTGGGAGTTCCAGAGTTGGGTTTCTGTTGTTGTTGTCTTTTTCCTGAAGACCCTCTCCTTGGCTTGTAGATAGATACCCTCTTGCTGTCCTTGCTATGTCTTTCACTTTGTGTCCAAATTTTTTCTAAGAAGGAATCAGTCATATTGGATGAGGACGCACCCTGATGACCTCATCCCCCCCGCCCTAGAGTTTAGTCTGGCCTTGAACTCTGTACAGCCAGGACAGGCCTCAAACTCACAGCAATTCGCATGCCTCAACATTCCGAGTGCTGGGATTACGGGCATGCAGAACCATGCCTGACCCTCATATTACCTTTAAAAACTCATCTCCAAACACATTCATATTTTCAGGTTCTAAAGGTTAGGAAATCATCATATGAATTTTTAGGTGATACAGTCAGCTGTTTAGCCTCGCTAAGATAACAGAGTTAGTCTCTAGTGACTTTTAGGTCATCAGTTACTTGCATAGTCCTCAGCTGCAAGAAGCACTATGATCAAACATTACATAGTATAGTGAATAACAGCGTCTAGATTGTAATTCTTAGTATACAACCAGCTGCCAGTTTGGCAAGTTATTCAGCCTACTTTGTTTAGGTCTTGTACCTAATTTTTTTTGTTGTTTTGCTTTGTTACTGGGAATTGAACTCATGACCTTGTGCTTGAGGCAGGCACTGTGCCACTGAGCTAAATCCCTAGCCCCCTTACCTAATTTTATAATGGGAATAATAATACCTCACTTAGCTGCTAAAAGGATGAAATGAGATAAATGTATAAGCTAAGTACATAGTGTTCCTTCAATCCAAATGTAAAAAAAAAAAATGAATTAAAAATAAGCAAAAACATGACATTTTCAAAATTTAAGACAATGATATTCTTTTAATTGTTTTTAAGAAATGTTTTTTATAATATTACCTAACAAGTTTATCAAAACTTTTTAATGACTTAAATCTCAAAAAAACTTTAATTTTTGATGTGCGTCACAACTGAAAAGCACTGGTATAAATACTGTTTTATAAAGGAACCACAGTCAACATTTTTCAGCCAATGAATTTTACATGGGTATTAATAATCAGTGCTGCTTTGTACATCCTTGTATGTGTCCTGCTGTCTATAAGCATGAGAGTCTGTGTAAGTAGGGAGTATACTGAGAAGAAAATTACAGAACACAAAGGCATTACAACTTCAATTTTTTTTTATACCAAGTAAAGGAATAACTATAAAAGACCTGAGAAATATTTTGAAAAGTAGAATTAGTAGGACTTGGACAGAGCAAGAAACATCTCTGTGTGCAATGTAAAAACAGCCAGAATGCTAACAGAAGAGAAGAGTAGAATCTGAAAACTTTTGTATATATTGAGTATCATTTGGGAAAAGAGGTACAATGAGTCATGTTGCAGGCCTCAGACCTGGCTTGTATCCACTAAAGGCAGTTCTGAGGATTAGTGGTATCAACAGCTAGTCACAGGTGTTTTTGGAGCAAGCAAGATCTTCGATTCTTACTACTTTTATAGAGCTCTGAAGCCTCCATCATCTAGGCAATTGGTAATACAAGGTCACTACCTGAACTCCAGAAATCTTCCTGTTTCTTACTAAGTCACTGTGCACATCAGATTCCACGGAGAGGTCAGGTTGCAGGGACTTCACCCATTGACTGGTTCTAGTGGGCTAGCAGGTAATCAGTTGGTGTTTGTAAGTGTGCAGCACTATTCACTGTGCTTCTAGATCTTTTGAGTTTTTTCCAGCTCTGAAGAAGGGACCTTTATACCCTATAATTCCACAAGGTGTTAAAGTTTCCCAAATACAGTCATTTGGTTTCTGTGACATTTGTATACTCAGCAAAATGCCTCTTACAGAGTATATATTATAACGTATGAATGAGCAGATTAAGGATTTTACATACACTAAGGCCAAAAAATAAAAAGAAATATACTAAGGACATTTATCTAATTTTGTTAGAATTATAGTACTTTCATACAAACTGGTGAAGGACAAAGGCAAAATTTTTTTTGATAATTAGCCCATTTTGATAATTAACATTTTAAGGTATCTATAATGTCAGATTTGTAGCATTTATTTTAATACTATGACATTTTCATAATAGGTAAGTGGTTTTTTAAGAGGGTACCAAGTGTTTGAGTGAAAAGTTTTGGCCTAGTATATTAAGCTTGATGTAGTCAATTTGGAGTATCTGAAAGAACATTTTCTAATTTAAAATGCAATATATTTAAACAGTTTTGGAATAGGTGGTTACATTCTAATTTGAAAATCTGGGTACAAGGTTAACTTGTAAAATAGAAATTCTCTTGCTCTTTAAGGATGTAAGCTACCATTTGAAGAGATGAGGCTTTCCAAATGTTCTTTTTATTAAAAAAAAAAAAGCCCGTATTATGAATTTCTCAGCCTGTTTTTTTTAATTTTAATTTTAATTTTGGGTCCTGGAGATCGAACTCACGACTTAGCGCTTGCAAAGCAGGCACTTTTGCTGCTGAGCTAAAACCCCATCTCAGCCTGTTTTTAAAAATGTGCAATATTCTGAATTAAGAAATTTCTGAAATATTATGGTTTCTTAAGTGGCATACATTTAAAGAAAAAAAGGTAATTGCAAGTTGCCTCACTAAGAAATTTCTATCAGCCAAAAAAAAATTTACCATCACTAAAAAAAATTCTTTTCTTGTGTTTTAGTATATATTTAAATCTCTGGACGACATTGCTTGCAAATTGCACTGGGCAGCTATATTTTTGAAACTACAGTATAGAAAAAGCGCTACCATTTGTTGAGCTCTCATCACCTATCTAGAATCAGTGAAATTGTATCTTCACCATAGAGACAAGGAAATCCAAGATCTAAGACATTGATTATCTAGCTTGTTCTTAAGTGTTGGAAACAAGACTACAACATAGAATTGTGTGGTTTTCCTAGGAGGTAGGAGTGTGGCTCATTGGTAGACTACTTGCCTAGCACATATTCTATCCCAGGCATCACAAAAATATAAATAAATAAATATAAAAAATAATAAAAAGGGGCTGGGGATTTAGCTCAGCGGTATAAGCGCTAATCTGGCAGGCAAGAGGTCATGAGTTCCTTGGGACCTAAATAATAATAATAATAATAATAATAATAATAATAATAATAAATAAGCAGGTCGGCTGGAAGGCCTATGTTATTAGAAGCATATATAAAATGTTTTGTTTGTGACCTGAGAACAAATCTATGTCTTAGCCTTAGTAGTGTAGTATGTAAGTGTTCAGATAGATAAATAATAGTCTGATCAATTTATCCTTTAAACTCTCCTTTGGGATAGGAAATAATTATTTTCTGTTTTTATGACAGCTTTGATATTTGTCATACAATAAGTTGTACATAATGTGTACATACAGCTGGGATGGCCAATTTTCCAAGCTTCAAGTAGCCTAATCATTGAGGATGATTAGTTCTAAGAAAAGCCCAAGACTTTTGGGTTGGGCTTTTAACAGATATATCGATGGGGGGCCGCGTTTGAGGGGGCTTGATAGAGCTGAATTAAGCAGAGGACAGACCTCAACCTTTTAAGTCTGGAATATATTAAAGAAGTCATTACAAAGCTTTAAGAAAGTCACTGTTCACACTAAGCACTTCGTGAAAGATTCAGGCCTGGGACTAGGAGGTAGAGTCCGGACTTGGGTTGGACAGGTGGTCTCTCAACTCCTTACCTGAAGGGCACGGTTCCCTGGCCAGGTTCACTCCTTGGGGTAAGAGCTCCCGGAATACCCTCCCTGCGTCCGGGGCCTACCTGCTTACCTGCAGCCTGACCCTAGACCGGAATTGTCTTTTACATTCTTCAGATTCGACTCCTTTACCTTTAGGGGACCACACACCATCCAAGGTGGGCGCGCACAGCAGAGAGGAAAGGCATTCCACGAACAGGTTCCTAGAGACCCGTGTTCTCTAGGCTTTCGCTGACGTACTGGCTCCCGGCATGCCTTGCGACCGTCCTACCGGATGTCGGAAGTAGGAGAACTTCCGGTCGGCGTGGAAGGTGTGCTGGCGTGTTTCTTAGGTGAGTTCCGTACCTCCTGGACGCAGTGGGACGTGGAATTTGGGCCTCACCTCTCCTACTCTTAGAGTTCATCACAAGCCGTTGTTATTCTCTTTTCGGTCAAGTTTGACCTCGGATTTGAAGATGCAGAACTCTGACCGTTTAATGACTGCCCTGTGGCTTCCCCGCGTGAAATGTAACGTGGAGCCGTCCCTTGTCATTCAGTCCCGCTAAGATTAACTTTGAGTTATTTACTCAATCCCTGTTTGCGCAGGTCGTTTTAGACAAAGGGCACAGAGTTTTATGTTTACGCGCCTTCAAAATATGGTTCCCAGGTAGTCATCCAGGCAACAGATGTTTTATCTTTTACGCAAAGCGCTGTGTAACGATTGATCTTACAGTGAACAAGAGCTATTTAGCCTCTGCCTTCGTGGAGGCTACAGTCCATCGAGGGTGACAAAATAGCTTCAGGTTATACTACGTATTAAGCAGGGGGCAGTTTGCAGGGATCAGCGATGTACTTTCTGAGGTACTGAAAGAAGGAGCAGGCCTTGAAAAGGGCAGTTTCCAGGCATAGGAACAGCAAATGCCAGGACATTGAAGTGGACATAGTTGGATTTCTAACAGATTTAATGCGAGGCGAATGAGAGAAGGAGAGGGTGAGATAAAGTTGAAGGAAGCAGAAGACAGATCTCAACCTTGTAAGTCTTCTAAAAATTTTGAAGAAAAGCAGTGTTCACATTAATCACTTTGTGAGGGATACAGAACTGGGGCAGGAGGTAGAGAGAAAGCAAGAATAGAATAGATACCTTCCTCTAAGGTAGTTGGATTGGATCGAGTGGGTGAATGATAATGAACAGTGCAGTAAATGATTTTATAAAGTAAGTGATTATAAAGTAAATGATTTGTAAATTGTAAACTTTACATAAATATAAGATGATGACAGTCCTTGCATTTTGAGAAAAAATGTATTTCTGGATCTTAAAGAAACTAAGTAGCTTTCAGAATTGGTACAATGTAGTTTGCCATTGTCCAAGGGAGTTGGATTTGGAATTCTTGTTGACGGCTACTTCTGCCACATAAATCCTGACATAAGTGGTACATTAACACACCATAAATCTTTAAACAGTTGAAGAGTTCACCCTCCATTTATTTCTGTATTGTAAAGGTCTGATTTCCAAGAATTTGTCTTTCTGCCACATTGATCCTCACATAGTGGCACATTAACAAGAGTTCATCCTTCACTTCTGTTGTAAAGGACTGATTTCCAAGGATTTGTCTTTTATTATAATAAATAATTTACTTTTGAGTGTATGTTTTTGTTAACTGCCAGGTAAAAGATGGCCAAAAGTTTACGGAGTAAGTGGAAAAGAAAAATGCGTGCTGAAAAGAGAAAGAAGAATGCCCCAAAGGAGCTCAACAGACTTAAAAATATTCTCAAAGTAAACTGTGATGTTTTAATGAAAGATGTTCAAGAGATAGCTACCGTCGTGGTACCCAAACAATGCCAAGAGAAAATGGAATGTGTGACAAATAATGATGCAACAGGTAATTTTATGTACTTCATTTAAAAAACAATTTTATCAATTTCCTTTTGTGATTTCTTTTTCTTTTTTGATGTCCTCTATCCATCTGCACATCGTCTCTACACACCAAGAATATCCACATACTTAGTCTTCGAAGGCAATAGTGCTGCAAGAGAGTCTGTGCTACACTGTTAGAAATCCAGTTCATTTGACTAGGCATGTTTTGGGCCATTCAGATGGATTTTCGTTGTAACCTAAGTATCTCAGGAACGGACAAACCTAAACATGCTCTGATTGGAAAGGTATACAATTCAGAATCTAGGCAGATAGAAAGGTGATTTTATTCTTTGCAAAGTCTAGTTTCCATTCTGTAAGTCCTGTATACTTAATACCCTGAAAATCACAGTTGCATTGTATTTGATTTTGTCAGACTCTAAGGGCTTTTAAATCTTAGTCACAGTCCAGAGTTAGAGACATTATACAGGCTGGTTTCAGCAGAAGAAAAGCCTTCTTAGTTTTCACATCCTAATGCATCAATTTGGCAGGAAATTAAATTACAGCATTCCCAACAATTCAAGATTCCCAACATTCAAGGGTTTAAAATAGACATGTTTATTTGGTATTGTATGGTTGAATAAGAGAACAGTATTCGTTAACCTTCCAATTCTAAAAGTTTGCTTTTCCATTCTTCAGAATGACTCTTCGAAATTTTTCCATCTCTGATCTCTCATTCCACTAAAAATGATAAAAACATCTCTTAAGTTTGGTTTCTTTAAAAATTAGAAGCAATCAGTACAAATGTCTCATCTTTTAACTACCACACTTTACAAGAATTTGAGTGTGTAGTCTGTTCTCAAATGTCAGATTCTCCACTTACATTGAATCTTCTCGTGCATTCTCAAGAGCTATAATTACACATGTCTTTCTAACCAGTCTCTTCTGGTGAGTCATTCTCAGCAGCATTCTGAGATGTCCTATCTAAAAAAAAAAAAAAAACAAGAAAGAAAGAAAAGAAAAACTTCTTAGTTTACATTTCTCTGACTCTGCTTTTAGTCTTCCTTGAAAGTTTTTGAAACACTTGCTTTGGCTTTCTGTGTTCCTTTTTTCACATTCATGACACTCCTGCCCATTTACTCTATTTCCTATTGTTGTTGAGGCAAATTCATGTAACATAAAATTATTATGTACTGTCCAGTACCACTTAGCATGTTCACAGTGTTATGCAGCCATCATCTCTAATTTCAGAACATTTTCTTTACCCTAAAAGGAACTTTGCCTACTAAACAGCCTTCGTCTTCCCCAAAGCCCCACTCTCTGTCAGTTGATAATGTGATTTTTGTCATTGGGTTTATTTTGCATGTGATAAAATAATCATATATTGTAATATTTGATCTTTTGTGCCTCACTTTTTTTACTTAGCATATTTTTTTTTTTGTCTTTTTCGTTTTTATTGGTACCAGGGATCGAACTCACGACTGCCTGCTTTCAATGCAGGTGCTTTTGCCGCTGAGCTAAATCCCCAGCCCCAACTTAGCATATTTTTGAGGTCTACCCACATTGTAGCATTTATCAGTACTTACTTTTTAAGATTGTGAAAATAGATCATTTTATATATCATATTTTATTTATCCATTCATTAATTTATAGGCATTTGATAAGCTCCCAACTTCTGAATTGTGAACTGTGCTGCTGTGAACATTTTTTTGTAGAAGTTTTTGCTTGAATACCTGTTTTCAGTTCTTTTTGAGTATATACTTAAAAATAGAGTGGAATGGGTCATTTGCTAATTTTTGTTTATTATTTTCCACACCAGCTACATTGTTTTACATTTTTGCTAGCAATGTAGAATTCTAGTTTCTTCACACCCTAATGCTTATTTTCCATACTTTTCTTTATTATAGCCATTCTCCTAGATATAAAATAGTATCTTGTGATTCTGATTTGCATTGTCATAATACATAGTGATGTTGAATATTTTTTCATACACTCACTGGCTTAACTTCAGAGAAAAGTCTATTCAGGTCTTTTAGCTCATTTTAAAATTAGATTGTCTATTTTTTTTGTGGTTGTTGGGTTGTAAGCATTCCTTATAAATTCTGGATGCCACATGCTCATGCATCACTGGCTTTCTTAGATTGATTCTCTAGTTTTCTTTTCTCTCCCCTTTTGTTAAACTCTGATTTTCTCAACTTTATTTCCTAGGTTTTGTGTTACTGATTTTTACTATTTTATTTCCAAAAGTTTCTTCTACCGTTTACTGTTTCTTATTTTTTTTATAACCTCCTGTTCTTAATGGTCTTCTTAATAGTCTTAATAATCTTTGACATGAGGTCATCAATTACAGGGTTTTTTTTTTTTTTTTTTTTTTTTTTTTTTGATGGTATTGGGAATCAAACCCAGGGCCATGGTGCATGCAAGGTAAGAAGTCTACCACTGAGCCACATCCCCAGCCCTACAGTTTGTTTTTGAAACTTTTATCTACTCTATGAATTGTCAGTTTTTTATCTTAGATTTTCCTCCCTTTGTTCTTGCCCTTGCATTTGTTTTATTATTTCCTATCTCTAGTTCAGGCTTACCATGTACTCATTATCTAGCCCCGACTACCCTTGAATGGGGACCTCAGCTTTTAGTATTGAGATTATACGCATGTATCACCGTGCTCAGCTTCTTCCTTATTTTTATCTATTTTTCGTAATAGAGACTTTACTTAGATGTCTGATGATCAGTCATATTATTTGAGCACCAAAATGATGGGAAGTCACATAAGTCAAGGTGTGTGTGGAGGGGAGGATACATCAACTGGGACATCTATAGAATATTGTCTCCATGCTGTTTTGTTGGTAGATTTCCTATACAGAATCTGTCTCTTCTTTTTTCTCATTATCCTTAGAGAGGTATTCTCTTAATCTCCTGCCTGGGAAATGTCTGGGTACCCTCATTGTTGGTATATTTCAGGTGCTAAATGGGGAATGGGACTGAAGATGAGAGGAGTGTCCTCATTTAATAATATGTCTCTCTTTAGAATGGTTCTTTGTATTCTGCCCTCAAGTTCATGTTCCGCCTTCTATTCTTGGAGCTTCCTAACCAGCTTCTTAGGAAGATGACTGGTAGTCATCTTTGTTTCCTCTTTGCTTTGTCTTCCACATGTACTCTTATTAGCAAGTCTTAGTATCCCAAGCTTAGAATAGAAATCTCTCCATTTTCTTTCTGCTTTTACCCCATCCGAAATGACTATCCGTTCTTACATATGCCATTGATAGTAACTGTATTGCTTCTATCTTCTGTTTTATCTTCTACAAATTGGTCAGTGTAATCTTTTAAAATATAAATCCACTTACATGCATGAAGCTTCATTTTCTTTCCCCATACTCCCAGAGCCTACCAAGTGTTACTTACGTCTCTCTGGTTCCAGTACAACTCTAAAAACCACTTATCACAAGCTAAAGTTTTCTTTTTACTTTCTTTTTCCTTGTCAGAATATTGTAAATTCTATGAAGGCAAGCAGCTTTTAGCTCTACTAACTGGTAGACCTAAAATAGTCAACAATCTATAAATTATTTGACAATTTGTAATTAAGTGGCTTTTACACACTGGCACTGTTTAGGTCAGGGAGTAAAGATAATAAAAGATCTTGTAAACCATGTTTAGATCATAGGGAAGGATGTTCTGGGCATGTCCCTTCCCAGTAGATAAGGTTGGCTGTAAGTATGGCACAGCATGGTTGCACAGATCTTGCTACTAAATTCCCTGTTAGTAGAACTAGGTCAGTAAGTATTACATAGATAGATGTATGGCAGCCTCAGGGGATGTCAGGATCTTTTCTTTTGTCTATTCATCTCTTTCATCAGTGTTGGCGTGAAATTGAAGGTTAAGCCAGGCATGGTGGCACATGCCTATAATCCTAGCTACTCACGGCGTGAGATAGAAGGATCATAGTTCAGGGCCAGTTTGAAAATATAGCAAGATCTTTTCTCAAAATAATAATAAGGACTGAGATTATAGTTCAGTGCTTGCTTAGAATGTATTAGGTTCAATCCCTATAGAAAAAATAAAATATTTTTAAAAATTAAGTTCAAATTCATAAGAAATGGTCAATCATTTCTAATTGGTTCATTCATTTCTAAGTCCTGCCCATTAAAAGTGTGAGTGCATCTCTTATTGCCTGAATTATCTTATTTAACTCAAGGAATCAGTATGAGTGATGCTTTTATAACTTACATGTGCTCAGAACCATGTTGTTCACTGATGTAGTAATTCTAAGCCAGCCATACTGTATATCCTATTTAACTATTATTCCGAAGGACAATGGGGGCAACATTTTTCATTAAATTTCTCAATGAGTAAACACATGGTATCTTTAGTTACTCATCAAATTACTTTTCATACTTTCATGGTTGTAGGAACACATGATAACATTGTCTACTGCACTGAGTTTGCTATAAAAAACTATTCCACAAGCCAGGGTTTTTTTCTTCTGTATTTTTAGACTACTGTACTGGCAGTTCTTGGGGTTTCACTGAATTGGGGTTTTCAAACAAGAAAGTTAAAGTTGCTTTTTTATTTTCCAGGTGACATGAATATGGAGACTGAGATAAAGAGAAACAAAAAGACTCTTCTTGATCAGAATGGACAGTACCCAGTATGGATGAACCAGAGGCAGAGAAAAAGGCTGAAGGCAAAACGAGAGAAAAAAAGGGGGAAAAGCAAAGCAAAAGCAGTAAAGGCAGCAAAGGGTTTGGCCTGGTAGACCTGGAAGCCGAAGAGCTTGCCGCCTGGGACAGATGCTTGGTTAGAAAATACACACTGATTTCAGCTCCCACTAAATGAAAACTATTTCTGTTCATATTTGCTTGATCTTTTTTCTTCACTTCAAACTCAATTCATTTGTTTTGGGAACTTGAATAAAGTATTTTTGTTGGATAAAAACTGTTTTGATGTCTCAGTTGGAAATTGCCCAATAGCAGGTCTTACTAGACATCAAAATCCTGTGAAGTATTAACATGGTTGTAATTGTTCTTACAACTTGGTAAAGTAAAGTAAGTGATGTACTGACAAAAATTTGAGTGAACTCACTTTTTTAAAAGCTATTATGCAGTCACATTTAAAAATACAACAGTAGATTTCAGAAGCAGTACTTATTTGGAGTTTTGGTTTTGCAAATTTCAGAATAAAAGATTTTGTGTGTAGATTGGGAGGTTTTCTAGTACTAGAGAACACCAGATTTTTTAGTAAAATTTTAAAATTTTAGATAGAATACCAACATACATGAATCTGTATCTTGTAGGAAATTAAAATATCTGTTTTTCCTGGATACTAATATTCTTCAGTTTTAACGTGTGGCCTAGAATAATATAATGCAGTATTTCCCAGAGATTTCTTCAAAATCTGTTTCTTCAGATTGTTCTAAAAATGTTTGTGGGAAATACTGTATTTTCAAAGATTCACAGAAAGTATTAGCTGAGGGTAAATGTAGTTTTATGAAGAGATCCAGCACTAAAGAGATTCATTTTGATTATTGGATACTAATTTTCTGAGAAATAAATATATACTATTGGGAACGCTGTTACTGCAATGAAATTATAGTCGTACAGTGGTACTCAACTGCTTTGAATATTGTTGATACTAAGACACATTTTGATATGAAAATTTTGTACCAGTACTTGACACACAGGTACAAATGTTGATGTTGACTGCTTTTTGTCTCAATACTTTTCCAGCTAAAATAATTTGGTACTTGTTTTTGGTACTAGTTGTATCCTGAAGCAGATTAAAGATGAGTCCCAAGATATCACTATGGTTGGGCATGGTAGCACACATTTATAATCCCAGCTGAAGCAAGAGGATTGCAAGTTGGAGACCAACCTGTACTACAAAATGAGACACGGGATATAGCTTAGTGCCTGCCTGGCAAGCGTGCAGTCCTAAGTTCAATTCCGGGTTCCAAATAAAAAACAACAATGAAACAAAGTGCTGTAGTAACCACTGTAGTACAGTCAGTAGTTAAATCTGAATTGCAGTTTGCCAGTTTCACTCAAGTGTAACTAAGCCACCTAAAATTCCTTATGAAATGTGCCTGTAGTTAGATTCTAACTTTTATAAATTCACTGAAATATATCTATAAAATACGTATTGTGCCAGGAGCTATCTCTAATATGAGAGATAGGGGGATGAAAACAAAGTATCCAGCCTTAGAAAGCTGAGAACTTGAACTGTGTATCAGTTCAGAACAGGATATTAACTAAACAGGAAAACCAACTAAATACAAATTGTATTTAGAATAGAGTCACTGTTCCCTGAGGTTACCAACTGCCACTGCTAGACTAGTTGTGAAACAGATAATTGGGATAAACCAAATCCTGTAGAAGACTAATCTAGAAAATTCAATGCAAATAAAATTCTGAAATTATTTTAGCATAATAGGTTTTCTCAATAGTTTCATCAAAAAGTTAGTGAATAAGTTTGCTGAATTTTCTGAAAAGCTAAGAAAAGGTTAGGGATGTTGCTCAGTTGCAGAGGTCTTGCCTACCATGCATGAGGCACTGAAGTTGATCCCAGCAATGCAAAAAATACGTAATTTGAAAGATATTTGTGGTCTTTGTTTTAGTACAGTTGTAATAGTAGCTTTTGTGAGGGAAAAATTGGGTACATAAATGTTTATTCATGAACTAAAATGGTACTGTCTAAGCCACCGACACTACTAAAATTCTTTCATTCCATCACAGGAATTGTCTACATTAATGATTTTATGCACGTGGCACTCATTAAAATTTTGGCTTTTAGGCCAGTATTTTCTAACTGGATTTTCTTTGAATTGAAGTGAGAAACTGTGCAAGGAACCTGTGAATATTTTGCACAGCTGGTTAATTCAACTCCAGTGGTAGAAGCTTTGTGCTCTCATCAGGGTTTCTCCATCATGTTAGGTTGTTCACTGAATTTTGTCCAATCATGAAACTTGTCCATTCAGGATTTAATTTAAAAGTTAACAAGCCATGATCCCAAAACTTTCTTGGGGACCATGTTCTTGAGTGTCAGGGCCTTTTGAACCATAACTGTGGAATAGAAATGGCCTTTTGCTGTTTTGAGAGTAGGTCCAGGGCACAGAGCTCCTGAACTGCACTCAGCAGAATTTGTCCCATCTCACATTTTGGTAAATTTAGACTGAAATTCCAAAAGTAGTTCAGAGATCTGATAACTTCTTGCCACCTTATTGTTCAAGGATAGTAAACTGAAAAGCATAGCACAATCCTTTAGTCTTTTATATAAATAGCTTAGCTTTTTGAAGTTTGTCGTGTTTTTACTTGACTGATATACAGAGAATTACTACAGAACCACCAGGTGGAGCTCAAGCCAAGCGCCAAGTCATTTTTGGAATTATATTGACCTAAATCACATTAAAAATTGAATATACCATTTTGTGTTTAAAGAAACAAAATTTTAAATTAAAATACATAAGAATACAGTGATTGAAATTGCTTAAAGTATTCATTCATTTAAACTACCCAGCAATCCTTTAAATTTGGTATGAGTATTCTCAGTGCAACTGAAGCACACAAGTCATCATTAAATCCAGAAGATCTGGATTCAAGTTCAGATAATCCAGTTCCTATTCTGCCTCTCAAGGATGCATAAAGTTGCCAAGAGAATTGATAATTTGGGGATAAAATATTTATTTTTTGGTTCACCCATGATGGATTAGATTGATGTGGACTCAAGATGATAGTAAAGAAATGGTTTCTAGACCCCACCTCAAACCTCTGAACCTAAACCAGACTGGATTTTCCTAGATAACACTTTTTTAACAATGGGCTGGTCAATCAGAAGGAAAACTTGTAGTTCATGATCATTAGTGGCAGCGACCAGTCAGAAAAAATGAACTATAGAAGCTTTCTTTTGGTCTTCTTCTTTTTTATCGGTACCAGGAATTGAACTCACAACTACCTGCTTGCAAGGCAGGTGCTTATGCCACTGAGCTAAATCCCCAGCTCTGAACTATAGAAGCTTTCAGGCAGAAACAAGTAGTGGTTTTTACTCTTCTGTTGTCATATTAATGTGGATACAAATCTTTTCTCACTAGTTCATGCTGCATAAAATGCACAACACTACTTTTGCTTAAGAAATTTGGATGTTTCAAACTTTAGACCCATATATTTGGGGTATGATTCTTAGGGGATGGAAAACAATAAGGACTTTATTAAAACATCTGGAATATTCTGATAGTGACATTGATGATGGGTGGTCAGTCTAGTGAAGTGTTACCCACAGAATGAAATTGTTGGAACTAAAGAGATCTTAAGGAATTACCAAATTATAAATACTACAGTTGATATGAAGGTATTTGTTAGATGGCTAACTTTTCTAGCTAAGTAACTTCTGCCAACATCTGGAAGAATGATTCAAATGTGTACTGGGCACAAAATAGAATTCTTTTGTCCTGTATTGGCCATCATATAAAAGCACCACTGCACATACAATGTAATGTCAAATGAAATTCATTTGATAGAATAATAGTAAATATATCACAAAAGCCAACATAGAGAGAATATGTTCTGCTACAAGTTTTACATGTTTTTGAATCTGAAAGAATGTTGTAGGATCAATACTCTTATACCCATTTTCAAAAGAGGAAACAGTCTGAAGAGGTAGCACCAAAAATTGTGTAACTATTAAGTAGTACAAAAGGCTGTGTTGATTAGAATTAGTACCTATGATCTAAAGAGGAACCTTCTAACCAACGTCCTGGCAGCTGAAACAGGCAGGTTCTAGAGTACTACCTTGTCAAGCTTGGGCTGGCCACTCACTTGTTTGCAAAGTAAAAGAATGCAATCAACATCATGCTTGGAATTCATGTTAAAATCCTTTTCAGTCAAACAATGCCCTATAGAAAGTTGCTGTGTTTGAGATGCATTTTCCTCATTTTGCTCTATCCAGTCTTTTATCACAACATGATTGTAGATGTAAATATCGTTTTTATGGAAATAGCAAAATCTATAATCTTAATTGTGTTAATGTTACTAAATCTGGTATTCATTCATTGAAGTTCCAAATTAAAGTATGGGAAAATGTTATAAACATCTGCTTTAAACAATGGAAGAGGTAAGGACTCAAATTTTAATAAGAATGGCATAGCTTTATAATATATTACATTTATAATATGCAGCGTGTGTTTTATTTCCTAAGCAATGAATTGTCTTGGCATTATGCTATCTTATGAAACACTTTCTCAGTCTCACATTGTGTCTTTATAGTTTTCAATATCAGCACAGCCTTTAAGTGGTCTTAGTTAGGTGTTGTGTATCATTGTATAGTAACTGCTAGTACATATGGAATTTCTGATCCATGTAATAAAGTACATTTGTCATGGATCTTGTGATCTGCATACCTTTTGGCCATTACTTCATAAATCTCTTCCATTGGAGAACTGCTTTGTAAAGCAATGGTTGAAGCTGCTTTTAATAAACTAATATTTTGTGTCTTTTATATGTAATCAACAGGGTGTATTATAATTTGTGCCTCAGTGGGAAACATTCCACTAAACTTCTTTTCTCTTGGCAATAATGGGAAAAAAAATAGCTTGGGAAAAACACAGATGTTCGAGAACATATGTTATTTGCTCCTAGAAGTCAGCTGAAGATCTTTTATATTGCTCCAGATTTTTAAAAAATGTTTCTTAGAGAAGAAACAGTTGAGATGTGTGATGGGGAGAAGACAGTTCCAAATTACATTCAGAGACTAACATTGGATGTTACTTGTCAAAATTCTACAATACCTCTCCTTGCTCCCACAAAAAGGCGATGCTCTTGCACGGAGGTGTAGGCAGTTGGCCAAAGATTGGTCATGCCCATCTGCTTCCCTACTCAGACATAAGCACTTTGCTGTTGTTTAAGTCTTTGTTCTGCTCCAAACTTCAAATTAGCAGAGTCTTCAAA